ATACCACTTCCTCGTGTGAATAAATGCTATGAAGAACAAAAATGGTAAACGTCTAAAAGGCCGGCATCGGACTCCCCTCACACATTAAGCTGACGCGCCGTGATAAACTTTTAACTTGAATACTGTTTAAAACGGCGTTAAACTCAACTAGCTCACTCACAATATCATGGCGTGTCAATCCAACGCAGGAGGAACCCCCAGAGTGAGGAAAGTCACATAGTTAGTAAATATATTTCGAACCCACGACCACAGGGACCTAGCGTGCCAAAGGGACGCAACTCTGCACAGCGAATTGCGGCGCCTTAGACGCCTGGTCCACCCGTGACACCGTGACGTTTATGACACCTACATTATTCCAAGTACGTGACTACTGTGCGATCAATCAGGAGACCGGTCTGTGATTAAATCCATCTGAGAGGAATAGTCCAAGACATGCCAAAGTGGTAACGTCTTTGTGTCTTCAACATTAAGGTTTGGTAAGCATCTCGTAACCAAACAAGCCATAATGTCCTCAGTGCCCGAATGTCGTTTATCAATGTTCGTTTATCAGTCTGGAGTTCCACTTTAGCCACGGTCAATACACAGAGGATGTCCGTATGACATATCTATAGAATAATTGCTGGGGGAACGGTTGTCCCGGTCGTCTATGACGCCGCAGAACGTTGTAGTCGCAGTAGTCCCACCTGATTGTTCTTGGTTTGTTCAGCACCAAACATATGTTCACTTGTAATGAATGACTAAACATCTATTACCTGCCTCACTTTGGGAGTTCCTCTTGCGTTAGTTTGACGCGCCGTGATATTGTGAGTGAGTTAGTTGGGTGTAAAGACGCTTTGAATGGTATTCAAGTTACTAGTATATTATTGCGTGTCAGCTTAATGTGTGAGGAAGGCCCGGTGCAGGTCTCAGACGTTTACCATGTTGGGGAAACCCACGAGCACGGGTATGGTGCTGACAAACCATGACCCATAATGGAGGAGAACCGGGATTCGAACCCATGATCATGGGTTTTTGGCGTGTCCAGGGACGCTACTCTGCACGCCATGACATAACCGAAATATAGGTGAAACACTCACTTATTAAAGAATGACATTTCTACACAGTGATCACGACTTTGAATTATGTAACGTGTTCCCCACCACCTAACGCCCTCCTACCCCATCACCACCCCTCAAATATCCCCTTCACTCCCATCTTCCCGAGACAAGGGCGTTAACTGACTATAAAATTCCAGTTTCCACCCTTGCAGAACTAGGCTGAAATTTCCAGGCTCGATCGTAGTGCCACCACGGCTATTACGAGTTATGTCGCTTCTATGCCCTCCTACTGACCAATCAGATTCCATCTCTCATATCACTTGCATTTGCCTCAAACAGAATGACGGCGATAAAGACGGTCTGATCGAAAGATTTTAGCATTTACAGTAAATAAAGAAGTAGTTTTAATTATACACTCCACTATGGAAAGATTTGCAAAATATATGTCGACGCCCAGTTGGCGGGCACATGTTTTGCAAATCCTTGGGTCGACCGAAATCTGCACGCTGAAGTCTATGTTGTTTACAGACCGCATGTCTAGTTCGTTAAGCGACTTTGATTAGACTGCATAGACTCGATCGTTAGTCAAGCCAAAATGTAATTCCAGCCTAGTTCGACAAGGGTGGAAACTGACCTTTATAGTCAGTTAATGCCATTAGCTTCCTGCAGAGTACAGAGTACAGCGCATCACAACGTAAAACAGATTCTGTTATCGAGAACCGATATCATGAGGTGAGTTCACGTGAGGTAGTTCACTTGACTGTGGATTAGCATGTAACACAACACATCTGGTTGAAGTCGTGACCCTTTAAAAATGTTGCTCCAATTTGTATACCTACATTCTGTTACTCATCACGCTTTTCTGAGAAACATGCCGTCGTGCTATTTGAACTTGGTGAGGTGAGGTGAAATGGGGTTTAACGTCGCGTTCAAGGTTGTTGCACTTATTTAGCGACGTGCATGCAAGTGTGTGGCTGCTTGTACTAGTCCGGACTAATGCCGAGTTATAGTGCTCACCCACTGAGATACCATGCCGCAGTTTAACATGAATACTCCACTCAGACACAGTATACTGACTTCGAGCCGACCAGGCCTCGTTTTAGCCCCTTTATGACGAACGCCAAGCAGGGTAACAACAAGTACCATCTTTTAACGTCTTTTTGCATAACACGGCTGGGGATCGAACCCCGGACCTTCCGCTCTCCGGGAGGACGCTCTACCACTAGACCACGGTGGGGAGTTACCGGAGACATGAAGTCCCTGCGTCAATACACCATAGTGTGTTGAGCTGTGTCAGTATAGATTTCCATGGTGTGTTAAAAGGAAATAGCAATGCAGCTGTTTGATACCTTTAGGTGTGTGTTGTCGAGGGAGTGAGTATTAAAGTACCTTAGAGTGAAAACCGTTACTCGGGAGATATTAGTTACGTCATATTGTGCCAATACGCTATAGTTGCCCCTCACTACTGTGCATGACCGCGAAAACTGTCAGAAATATCCTGCCGTGTAGATTATATTTATTGAGACCCCTAGCTGCCAAGGGATTCTGCAAAAAAAGTCATTGATTCTCTGGCAAAAAAGTCACAAGTCATGCAACTTTTAAAGGTTGTCATCGAACGATCATTGCAAGCGCTGTTCAATCCAAACACGAGGTTTACAGTTCCGCACATATTTATTGTTAGGTCTTGGAGTCTTTGGGTAGCGATAAATAGCTTCCTTATACGCATCACGTGTGTCGCGATTTAGAAAAGCTTTAAAATATCATCACCGAAGAGAGCTTGTGAGTAGGTCTTGACATCACGGTAAGGGCAGTAGAAATTGTCAGTGAGTGAGCGTTCATTTGTGCTTGGATAGTTCCGAAAATAACTTCGCTATCTACAGTCGATGTGATCCGTGAAGATCCGGGGTAGAATAGGTCTTCAGCAAACAATGCCTGTCGTAAGAGGCGACTATGCTTGTTGTAAGAGGCGACTTACAGGATCGTGCGGTCAGGCTCGCTGACTTGGTTGATACATGTCATCGATCCCAATTGTGTGGATCGATGCTCAAGATGTAAATCACTGGATTCTCTGGTCCAGACCCGATTATTTACAAACCGCCGTCATGTAGTTGGAATATTGCTGAGTGCGGCGTTAAATAACAAACAAACAAACAAACCAGAGATGTGATTAGTTGGTGACTTTTGTGTCACGCTGCATTGAACAGGATTTCAGTAATACCACGGTGTGTCAGCGTGATCCTTGACGTTTACGTGTATGTGCTGACCAAGATTGCTAATTGGGACGAATATGGGATCGAAGCCGCGATCGTCGAATTGATACCTCCAAGTGATGTCATTGATACCAGTATCTAATTGACAACCTGAGAAGTAATGGTTATATGGGCTAACCAGATACTGGTCTGAAAACAGGCGCCGAAACACTGCCAACGGGAGGTCCAAAAGACAACCGTGTTTTCCTCATCAAATATAATCTCCATCAACTAACGATTCCTTGTTTGTGTCATATTAAGCCACCATTAATCATGGGTGTATATACTTTTTTGCCCGGATTACGAGAAATCTAATGAATACCTTACAAAGACCCAACCGCCTCCGTGGTCAAGTGGTAGAGCATCCGCCCGGAGAGCGGAAGGTCTGGGGTTCGATCCCCGGCCGCGTCATACCAAAAGACGTTAAAAGATGGTACTTGTTGTTACCCTGTCTGGCGCTCGGCATTAAAGGGCTAAAACAAGGACTGGTCGGCTCGGAGTCAGTATACTGTGTCTGAGTGGGGTATCCATGTTAAACTGCGGCATGATATCTCAGTGTGCTAGCACTATAAATCGGCATCGGTCCAGACTAGTACAAGCAGCCACACATACACGTGCATGCACGTCGCTATATAGGCGCAATAATCTTGGACCTGACGTTAAACCCAATTTCACCTCACCTCACCAAAGATCCAACAGCGATTTGTAGCCTCACCACAATGCTGGCCAATTTCAGTAGACTATATCAAGGCTCAGAGGTAGACTGGATACCCTCAGTTTTATCAGATATATAAATCTCATATGAACTCATGGACCTTCATATATGAGTCTAAGATTGTTTTGTGTTTGTACGCCTTGTTCAAAATAATAGATTTTAAATTCATGTGTCGTAGACAACTTGACAAGACTGGTGTCACTTCCCGATTAAGGTTCACGACTTTGTCTGAACACACAGGTGTACACGCTACTTTAAACGCATTATGCCCGTTGAGATTCCATTGATCACCTGTTTAAAAATTAATGCAAACTGTCAGGAGCATAAGTCAGAAAACCTATACCAGAATCCATGGCAACGAGACGGTAATTGGTAATGAATCACCAGACACGCTGATTTACTGATTCGACAAGCTGTCACATTGCCACAGCTAAAACCTATTTAGCACATCTGGCAGACAAATTTAAGATCGTTTTTCATTTCACCAACACTAGACACTTGGCTAAACTGACCGGCCTTTGGAACACTGCTGGAAGAGGAAATGTCAACAGGATTTCATCCGAAAACGGAATATCTCTCCTTCACAAGAAACCCACACATGACCCTCGCTACCTATCCATCTCTGAAACCAGATCAGTGTCATCGGGAGAGACATAATTCGTTTTTTTGTTTGCACTCGGCTGACATCAATCACATATATTATCTCGGTTTACATTGAAGGAAATCCACACTTTACTAGTTTCACTTGTTCACGTGACTATCACACAACAGAATGCTATAATGCGACAGTCGTATCAAGCTTGCCGGATCTAAAATTTCTGTAACATAATAAATAAACATTATTCAAATTACGTTCTCAAAGTGTGACGTATCAAAAACGAAGTATAGGCAGAGGGTTCGGATAATGCCGAGGTATTATGTTGGTGGCGGAATAAGCCGACTGGATCCGAATGACATGTTTGTAGAGCACACGTTGTGGACAAAATATATACTGCAGAATAACAAAAAAGTAAATTTTATTACATTACAAATGATTTGCAGCTGGAGTGGGAATTATGTCAGTAAAAATGTATGCGACCGCAATAACCTTGGAACAGTTATTTCATTAGGCACAGTCTGCCTTATCTTAACTGAGCCATCCGATCTATTTGACATACACACGTTCTCGGAAGGTTGTAAATGAAATCAGAGAGACTTTACATGATTACTTACAATCTCATCCCATCCAGGCGTTGAAAATAAACACAATCTGCGTCATAAACCCACAATCATGATTGAGCGTTGAGCAAGAATCAAGCATCACAGAGCTTTCGATCAGCGTTCACAGTACTGCTTCGTGATCTTGATTATATTTGACACCGGTAATGTTATTAACTGTGGCGTTTGACGATCCACAGACAACATTGTTGTCATCCTGCCAGACTCCGTCGATCACAGTTATATAGTTATATCAAGGTGTGTAAACATGTCTTATATCAGCATGTACAATATGTGAGTCTCTTGGTAATATGTCTACAACTGAGGGAACGGGGAGGTTGAGAAAGAATTCGGGGTGGTAAAGTAATGGGTGTCGGGAAGTAAATTAGAGAAGACGTAAATGATGTGGGTTGAGTTGGTTTGGTTTAAAGCCGTCTTGAACACTATTTCAGGGCGCCTTGAACACTATTTCAGTTAACGGCGCCTTGAACACTATTTCAGTTAACGGCGCCTTGAACACTATTTCAGTTAACGGCGCCTTGGACACTATTTCAGTTGAATCACGGCGTGTCACATTGATGAGGATGCTGGTCTCAGACGTTTGGCGAAACAAACGATCACGGGCATGGTGTTGACAAACCTTGAAACAATATTAGGGCGAATCTGTGATTCGAACCCAAGGTCACAGGTTTCTGGCTCGCCCAAGGGACGCAACTCGGCACCGTTGCGGCGCCTTTGATGACTGGTGGTAACCCGTGCCCAAGTGACATGAGAAGAGAAGGGTGGCTTGGGGTCGTAGTAGGGGAGGAGTTTGGGTTGGTTGGGGTGGGGGATGGGGTGGGGGATGTGTCACACCGATACTGGTGTAGCAGCCTGAGAATTAAAAGATCTACTTGTGTTACTTTCAGATTTAAATACTCCATTAACCGTAGTGCACATGCGTAGAATGTTTCGTCCAATACCCCCGATGGCAATGAAAGGTGTTCCATCCACTAAGCACCAGATGATATACAGAGACAGGCGGTTGATATGAACTAGATACGTCATACTAAGCAATGTTGTTGGAGTGAAGTGAGTCCCTCTCGCAAACAGGATATTGATTACGATGAACGCAAGATGGGTTCCAAAAGATAGCCACGACACAACTGTCAACGCTTTAATGAAGAATAGATCATCCGGGGTCGAAGATTTGACCGCATCGACACCAAGGCGGAACTGTCTAACACAGATAGCACTGCAGCAGAAAAGGGCTATTGCGCATGGCAGAAGTGCAGTGAGAAGTACGTTGTACGCCATCCATATGTCACTGTGTTGGTTGACGGAAGTGAAGTCACCGGCACACACGCCCATCTCTAAAACACAAACAATCAGTCAAACAATATTCAAACATTAAAATTCCAACATAAATATTCAAAAATTAATATTCCAATATTAATATTTCACGAATAAAATTCCAACATTGATATTTCACCATTGATATTCCAACATTAAAATTCTAACTTTGATATTCTAATATTGATATTTCAACATCGATATTCCAACATGGATAATCCAACATAGATCTTCCAACATAAATATTACAACATTAATATTTCACCATTTATATTCCAACATTGATATTTCAACATTAATATTCTAACATTGATATTCCAAAATTAATATTCCGACACTGATATTCTAACATTGATATTCAAACATAGATATTCCAACATTGATATTCCAACATTAATATTTCACCAATAAATTCCAACATGGATATTCAACCATTAATATTTCAACATTGATGTGTCTAATATTAATATTCTAACATTGATATTCCAATATTAATATTTCAACAGTAATATTCCAAAATTGATATCCCAAAATTAATATTCAAACAAAATGATATTATGTTTCCCGTTGGACCCGGATTAAAACTGTCCCTCAACACTCTATTGCGTATAAGATGCGATTAATTTGGATCGGGTGGTCAGACTCTGTGACTTGGTTGATTGAGTGGCATTTTACCCTGACGAATGGTGAAATCAATCATTGGTTTGTCTTGCTAACGTCCGATTTGTGACAATCTGGCACGACAGACTACCTATAGTAATATGAAAGAATCGGGTGGTCTTTAACCTTCATTGAGTAGTAACTTCATTAGCACTGCTTAAGGGATCTCTGCTGATATTGGTTACACTTACGCTAGACCTTCGCTGGATTAAGTTTGACATTTATTGTAATTAATATTAAAGTAAAACGACAATTATCATGATAGATTTGTAAATACGTTCCTATTGCGACCTGCAACGTGTATTTAAATAAATTTGAAATAATGAAAACGACAATCATCTTGATATCATTTATAACTGTTTTGGGGGCGGTCGGGTAGCCTAGTGGTTAAAGCGTTCGCTCGTCACGCCGAAGACACGGGTTCGATTCCCGACAAAGGTACAATGTGTGAAGCCCATTTCTGGTGTCCCCCGCCATTATATTGCTGGAATATTGCTAAAATCGACGTAAAACCATACTCACTCACTCACTCACTCACTATAACTGTTTTTTACGATCACTTGGAAAATAACACAACGCTAGATGTGTCACTTTATCAGTAGATGTAGCAGTGTTAATACCAAGCACAGTCATTGAAGCTTAAGTGGATCAGTGTGTGAATGTATTCTCACATCAATCAAAGTCAGTAGACTCTGAAACCGATGATGGATGAAGCAGCTGATTGAATGGGATATAGACCGTAAGCCTGTCGTATTGAAAGAGGCGGAAATAGCCTTGTTCCACCAAAGCAATTGGATTTCCGGGAACAAAGGTTTCACTGCATGGAGCATCAATCAGTAATGAGGGGATCAATCTTGATGTTAACATACGTGATTTCCACTCATTGATATAAAACTAAATATGCAAGGTAATCAAGGATGGCAAAACAAAAATGAATTATTTAGATTTCATACAGCCACTCAGGGTCATCGCCGTCACAAAGTCTTCGAGATAAAAATAAATTAACACGTCATCGGCAAGAAGTATCGCCGAGTTTGAATGTAGTTATTTCAATGATTCTTCAAACGGTGATGTGAAATGGGGTTTAAAGTCGCGTTCAAGATTATTGCTGTTATTTAGCGACGTGCATGCACGTATGTGGATGCTTGTACCAGTCCTGACTAATGCCGATTTCATAGTGCTAGCCCACTGAGATACGATGCCGCAGTTTAACAATGAATACCCCATTCAGACACAGTATACCGACTTCGAGCCGACCAGTCCTTGTTTTTCCCCTTAATGCCTAGAGCCAGACAGGGTAACAACAGGTACCATCTTTTTAACGTCTTTTGCTATGACGCGACCAGGCATCAATTTTTTTCGCGTTACTTCGAATATTTTCTCGTTATTTCAATTATTTTCACGAAATTTCGAATTTTGGAAATAAACTTGAAATAACGAGAAAATATTTGAAATTACGAAAATATAATCGAAGTAACGAGCAAAAAACTCGAAATTTCGAAAAAATAAACAAATAACTGAAATAACGAGAAATTTCGATTAACGAAAAATATATGCAAACAAAGTCTCACCATTAGGCTCTCGTTGTTTTTTTAAAGCCAGGTAACGTTTTGGTAACGTTTGTTAACTTTTGGTCAAATCCAAATTTAAAGTGTATACTTTCTTTTGCCCAGCAGCTTAAAAGCTTATATCAACCCCAAACCATGCTTACTGTAAAAGGTGACTATGCTTGTCGTGAGAGGCGAGTAACGGGATCGGGTGGTCAGGCTCGCTGACTTGGTTGATGCAAGTCATCGAATCTTAACTGCGTGGATCGATGCTCATGATATCAATCACTGGATTGTCTGATCCAGACGCGATTATTTTGAGTCCGCCGTCATATAGCTTGAATATTGCTGAGTGCGGCGTCAGACAACCCCCCCCCCCCCCCCCCCCCACACACACACACACACACACACACACCCTAAAAAACAAAACAAAAAACAAAAACCAACAAGAATATATCAACCACAGAGTACAACATTGTTCGCGGATATTAGGACGAATATTCTTTCGTAGACATGTTTAACGACAACGCTTACCCTCTCATTCCCCATATCGCTAAAATGTGACCGATTCTGCTATAAATATCTATGAAGTCACTCAACTTTTCCTTTCCTTGGCAACACTACAGACTATGAATGACTCAAATTCCGTGTATGAAATATGATCTGGATGTTATTAAGGCATAATCATGCAAATTCTATTTCTGATAATGAATGCCTGTTTACGTGGCTTATATATCTTTATGAGAGTCAGTTCTATTTCGGACCCTGTTAAATGTATAACATAACGGAAAAGTCTCTTTTAAAGGAGTACTGTCCTATCGTCAATTAGTAGAACGGCGTCCCTGTCATGTAATGAATATTGACCTTAGTTAAAGGTGGTCATCAGCGCTCACAAAACGTCTTGCTTAATTCCCAAACGATGTTGACTTTATCATGTCAGACGGATCCAGCGTTTATAATAAGGAGGGGTAAACAATATCACTATCCTCTCTCTACATACTACGGTTGGTTTTCAAAGGGGTGGGGGGAGGTCCCCTGGATACGCCTATGATACCCGTTTTCTGCTAGTACGTAATCGAATCTGGATCAGACAACCATTACAGTAAAATTTATCGAGATGAGATTGGCAAAGAAATAACAACTTATCCTTTGGTTCGTTTCCGCATTAAGTATCACCTACTAGTTCTTAAATATTTAATCGGAAACATGGACCACACCCGAGGTCGTGTGTTGATTGTGCGAGAACAAGAAAGATTCTGTGATATTTTCCCATAACTGCAAAGCTAGATAGTGAGTTTGGTTGATGTTGTTTTATAGCGCGACCAGCAGTATTCCAGTTCTCTCACGGCAAACTGTTTACTAATATATAATATCACCTAATAAGTCAATTGATAATGCACCAGATTCCATTTATCATGGAACTACGTTATTATTGCCCGGCCTTTGATCGGTGTGCACTCAAATTTATCAACACCCTGGGAAGTACACAGACCAAGCAGCCGTGTGTGGCGCGAGCAGGTGTACATGTATCTACCGGGTACCCATTTACTGCTGGTTCAACGGAAGCATATTATGAAAATTTCAAGGAGACACAACATGCAACTTGTATTTCGGGGATGGACCGAAACCCAACATAAAATCAGGAGTCAGACCGTCGAACATGGTGTCCAATCCACCTACTCGCAGCCACAGGCAATCATAACCGAGGCTGGACCAGTGACGGAAAACACCGATCCACGCATGATGTCACACAAGCAGCCAAGTCACAGCGCCTGACAACCCGATCTTATAGAGTCTCCTCGCAGGACCACTACTAAGTGAGTGAGTTAGGTTTTACGCCGCTTTGGGGGCGGTCGGGTAGCCTAGTGGTTAAAGCGTTCGCTCGTCACGCCGAAGACCCGGGTTCGATTCCCGACATGGGTACAATGTGTGAAGCCCATTTCTGGTGTCTCCCGCAGGGATATTGTTGGAATATTGCTAAAAGCGGCAAGCCGCTTTGAACAGAGTTCCAAGTATATCACAGCGTGCCAGCTTAATGTGAGAGGAAAGTTTGAAGTGATGCGGGTCTCAGACGTTTTCCACTTTGGATAAGCACGGGTATGGTGCCGACAAACCTAGAAACATAATCGGGGCGAACCGGAATTCGAACCAACAATCTATGGATTCTGGCGTTTCCAAGGGACGCAACTCTGCACTTCGAATTGCGGCGCCTTAGACGACCACTAACTGAGATACTGGTACCTGATCAAAGCTGAATTTTGTTTTTAGTTTGCCGACAGACCTACACAATGTCAAGCACTGCTTTGACAGAGTGTAGCTTGATGAAAACTACTCGTACATGTCAATATATAGGGCGTCAGCACTGATGAAATATAGCCATGTAGTGTTGTGTTCGGGTGTGGTACTGTTTATCGAGCAGTAAATGGACACCCGGTAGTGTAGTCTGTTTTACAATAACACAATCAGCCAAGTCACAGTCTGAAGCAAATATATCCATTCAAGTCTATAAAAGTGAAGACAGTACCTGGGCTCCTTTTTAATATATTTTATGACTATTATTCAACAACTGCTCATTTTTTAAAACACAATCATTTCAGAGACTAGATGTTAGTCTACCGGTAGCGGGGAAGGTAATAGTCAACTATCAACTCTCTCTCTCTCTCGCTCCAAATGTATCAGTATTTGCTCTCTCTCTCTCTCTCTCTCTCTCTCTCTCTCTCTCTCTCTCTCTCTCTCTCTCTCTCTCTCTCTCTCTCTCTCTCTCCACGTTACAAGCGATGAGAATTTATGTTCATTCTCAAAGTTCGCCTTTG